CGTTACTTTTTAAAATATGCAACGCTTTGGTTATAATCGTTACTTTTTTTAAAAATACTTGTACTTTTACTCGTTACTTTTTAAAAGTAACGTTGCCATGTATGCTGACCACAATGCTGACATAAAATATCCTCAGTGGTTGACAGATTATGGATTAGAATCCACTTGTTGGCGGGCTAACCGAAGGAGATTTTTGCGGTTTTGCTTTCCATTTAACACAAATACAGTTTAGTTCCATCAAAAAGTTCTCTATAAAGCTAGTTTGCTCTAATTCTTGATCCAGAAGTTTATTTGTCTTCTGTATTGGGTTGAAAATTATAAAGTCCCGGATGGTTGCTTTTCAACGCCGAATTGGGCCAGCTTTTCAACGCCGAAAATAAAATAAAATAAAATAAAATGGTTTTTCAAACTTTAAACTGCAAATTTGCAGTTAAAAGACATGTTATTAATTATTATTAGAATTTTTTTGTTTAATTGTTGATAAATATAAAATTCCTCTTAAGAATTTACGTGTTATAAATTAGAAATTTCTGATTTGGGAAAATTTTCTTTAAATGCTGACGATCATTTTTTTTATGAATCAATATCTAAATAGTAAATGTTTATCTCATTCTAAATAGAGTATTTAAGACATAAAGGGGTTAAATATTAATGTATGTTATTTTTCTGTAGCGGTATGTTCTTTACTTGAACCACTGCTATTTTTTTAAATATATTTTTTAAAATTATTCCTGTATGTTGTCATCTAAATTCATCATAATTCAAATCAAAACTACGTGGTTATTCCGCAATTAATTCTCACAGTTCATATGTTTGGGACTTTCACATTGAGGAAAAAAGTATGGTCAAAATCACCAGAATATGCTAAAATTTATCGTATTTCTGGTTGTAAGGGAACAACAAACCTCCAGTTACGAAATAACGTGATTTCGTGACGAAACGTGACCTCTCATATATATGAAGAAATTTTTTCTCAACAGGGAACCTCATCGCAGTGCATTGTGAGAGATTGTTAAATAGGATGCCGAAGCTAGAATGAAGGCTAGACAATCTAAACTGGAATGACGAAATATTCCTTTACTTTAAACGAAATTTGTTTTCTCGAAGAAGTGATACTAATTTTGCCACTTTGACCTTATGCTCGTCACTTCGATGTCGTAGCCCATAAATAAAAGGAAATGGCTTGGTCAAGAATGAAGAAAAGTTCATGAAATTTGAGTATTCATTTTTTACTGTGAAAGGAGAGATTGCAGTACGTTGGATCAATTCTAAATTGTCATTCTTCAATGCAGAAATTTATAATTCAGATATTAACGAATTCATTGTGCATTTGTCTATTAACACAATTTTTATGAGAATTAGTTCTGTCATTCAATGACCAAATTTCTCCACTCGTTGTAGTAACCAGTTGAATTTTTCCATGTTACATGTTGACAAAGGTACAACACTCTCCGATACAACATTGGAAATCTAAATCTAAATTTACCAATAATTTTGAGTATAAGATCTGGGTAAAATTGTACGGATTTTAAAAATATTATTAGATCTGGGAAATTTTGAATAAATTTCTATTAAAAAAGATGGAGAAAATCTGTTTGCTTCGATTTATTTCCAGAATGAGTTGCATTTCAGGAAAAAAAGACATTTTGTAACTTTAAAAATAAGTGGATGATAAATATTTTTAAAAAAATATTAACCTGTGCTAAGGCATCTTCATGAAACTGAGAGTGAACAGAAACATCCGTGTCCACATAATCCATCTCTTTAAGATCTGTGCCCTGGGGTCCATCTGTGGGAATCGTACCACCTTCTTCTGTATAAGAGCCTGCAACTCCATTATCTTTGTTTAAAAGCAGGGACTCACTTTCTGAATCTTCTTTCTTTTTCATAGTGAGTTAAGTAAGCATATACTTATCTGTGACCTAAAAATGTTTTTAAAAAAAACTTAGCTTCGAATAAAATATATAAACACTCTAATGTAATTTGTTTAAAAGAAGTGAACAATCTGAATTACTTTAATCTGAAAGGTTCAAAGGCCTAACCTTATACACCGAAGAGCCATTACATTATAACCATCCTCCATCTATAACGATCGGCTCGCCCAGGTTTTCATGATTTCTCGCCCAGTAACAATGTTTTCACGGGGCACAATAGGACCCATAATCCTCATAGAACAATCCCTGACGTCTGTAAGCTACTTGATCATTGTTGCAGACCAGGTTCACCCACTCATGGCAACAGTTTTTACTGCGGGGGATGGTGTTTACCAACAGGATAATGCACCATGTCAGGAGGGTCGAATCGTCGAGGAACATTCCAGTGACTTTCAAGTCGTGTCTTGGCCCCCAAATTCACCTGACCTTAATCCACTAGAGCATTTGTGGTCCTACTTGGAAAACCAAATTCATGTTGCCAGGCTACCCCCTCGTAATGTGAGGGAATTGAAGGACCAGTTGGTGAGCCCTTGATACCAGATACCTCAGACTACCTATCAGCGCCTTGTGGAATCAATGCCACGGCGGGTGCTAGCAGTTTTGAGGGCTAAAGGTGGTCCTACATGTTATTAGCAGGGTGGTCATAATGTAATGGCTGTTCGGTGTATATGCTAATTAAATAGTGTAAACGATATTTTACGCTAATTAACCCGACACAAAGACATAGTTTTTTCTGAATAAATATACCTTTAATTAGTCGGATTTAGATTTTTGATCCGCAAATTATGAGGGTTGCGTGATATGGAAAATGTGATTGCAATAAAGAGAAAAGTAAGAAGAGCGGTCGAAATTTTCACTTCTTCCTGATTATTTATCTTACTTTTTCTTATTAATTTATTTTATTTATCGATTTCTTTCAGCTCTTCCTAAAGAATTGTATAGGAAATAATACCTCTTTAGTTTAAGTGACAGTTAAAAAGCAATATCAAAACTATTTATAGCATAATTATAAAAAAAGTACTATTTCTGCGTAAATCTTCATTATTCCTAAGTTATTATTCGTGCCGGATTTTACCATTTAGAAAAAACGCATCAGTACGTAGAAAAAAAAACATTATTTCTCTAGTTAGTAATGCTTAGGCCCTACAGCTACTACTACTACCCCCCCCCCCCAAAAAAAAAAAATCTGACTAGTAAGATCGAACAGTTTTTTACTACTCTATAAGAGGATAGTACTTAGAGATTTACCACTAGATGGATCTTTTTAGATGTTTGGGTATGGACAATTTTTTGAGCTACCTTTCTTGTATTATGAGCAATTCATAAGCCACTAAACGAAAAATCAGGAAACGTGCAAATAAATATTCTATAAATATTGTACGATATCCTTCTTGTACAATGAGATATTCGTAAACCATTAAACGTAATACAGGGAACGTTGAAGAAATAGATATTCTTTGAATTGAATTAGATTATTTTAGCTTATAAGTACTTTAACGAGACAGTATTAACGCAATGATGAGTCATGAATGTTAAAATATTTTATTGAATTTCAACTATTATAAACTGCATTCTTTCAAACTATCTTCGTTACTCTTGAAAAGAGCCCCTTAAAACAACTATTGTTTTTCACTTTTGTTTAAATACACCAATCATTTTATCTTAAATTATAATTAACCCTCAAAATATAATGATTTTGTGAAGTTTCATTTACAAAATTAAAACAGCCACCTTATACAAAATTTTTTTGCATTTAGCAAAAAGTTTCTGAAACTAAAACTTTAGTTCTGTTTGATACAAGATTACCCCTATGTTGAAATTTGAATCATTCTCTTTGTCTCTAACGATAGAAAACTTCCATTTTCTTTTCTTCTTTTGAACATTAAATAATCATCAAAGAGAAAGATGAAAACAAGGGAAGGACATGCTTCTCAAAAGAAGATCCTACAGCGGTTATAGATCGTGCTCCTTTCCTCCTTTCATTGGTTATCGATCTCTCTCACGTGATTTCCTACACTGAAATAGTTCTGTCACCTGAAAAAAGAACAAGACTTCGGGACATTGGAAAAGTCACGTGATTACAGAATGGACTCGGTTGAGAAGATCGACAGTACGTTTGATTGCTTCATGTGTTCAGTCAATCGAGGTAATTCTTCACGCTCTGATTCTAGATTTATTTTCTAATCAGACTTTTGCACCGAATGACTTCGATAAAACACGATACTTAAGAGCGTGGAAGCCACTTCTGAAGAGTTGAGAAGACCCAGCGGACATTTCTGGCTACGTGAAAACTTCCCTCAAAATTACTCTTTTATGCTTGAAAGAAACAAGACAAATCGTGTATCATTTGAAATTGGTTACACATTGATTCGAAAGATCAATTTTTAACTCTTTTAATTAGCTATTATAAAAAGATATAAAAGTAAAGTTGCTTTAAGTATTTTAACGAAGAAAAACTTAAAGAACTTAAATGAAAAAATGAAAATGAAAAGTAAAAAAATGCAAAAATGGGTTAGAATACCCTAACGTCGAGCTAACCATGGCTGGCTTTTTGGTTTTCCTCACGATGTCACGCAAAAACGGGTTAGTTAAATCAAAAAATCTTCAAGGAAGGCTAATTTGTTCCGTGATAACCCCTGATAACAATGCTTGATACTGAGTTTCCCTAGTCCCTACGGAGTTGAACTTTGAAAGTCGTAAGCTCATAATTGGGCTGTTTTATAGCTGGTTATAATACAAGTATAAAGTAAATTGGGTGATAGCTAATCTGCGAATTTGGCCGATGAAGGTGTTCCGTGTGCAATATTGACCCCTTTGACATCATACAGTTAGTCTCAACATTGTGAGCATTATCTGAGGAATTAAAGATTCAGAGTTTTCTTTAAATATCGTAACATAAATAAAATAATTAATTTTCTGATTATTGATATTTGATACTTCTCCAAATTTTAAGCAATAATTTCAGGGAACACGTCGTTTAAAATAAATATTCTGTAATTGAATGCATCTTTTCAACATTCTAAATATATTTCTCTGTGAGTGTGATGAGTAAAAATAAGTATTTCGTGAGATATTTTCTTTAAGGAGAGTCGGTAAGACACACACCAATAATGACTTTTTCTCAGCATCTGGACAAGATATTGATTCAGTTTTTTATAGAATATTTACATGTGCATACTTATAGTGTGATAACTGTTAATGTATATGCTTGACAGAAAATTTTTAAAAAATAATGAACTGTGAACTTTTAATTTTTTTAAAAAAGTTTTATCAAAAATCCTTCATAACTCAAAAAGTATTCCTGTTCACACTAAATTATTATCACAGCATGCAACTGATATGCTGNAAATTAACATGACCAACGGTATCTCACCCATTGTGGTGGTCCTGAAAGAGTGGATACCACCTCTGGAGAACGCACTAGGTCTACTCATCGGCAAGACCGATTGTGCAGCTCATTGGAAATATAAAAAAATATTTATAGTGGGATAACTGTTAATGTATATGTTTGACGGAAAATTTTTCAAAAATAATGCACTGTGGACTTTTAATTTTTTTAAAAAAAGTTTTATCAAAAATATTTCATAACTCAAAAAGTATTCCTGTTCACTCTAAATTATTATCACATCATTCAACTGAAATAATCTTAAATAACCCTAGGAAATCTCAAAGCGACATCATTAGTGGTTTCTCGGAAAAAGGTACATCGAAAAAGGTTAGTTTAAGCATTATTGATATAGGACCTACTGACACCCCTTATAAAATACTTTATATATTTGAAAAAGAAATATTTTTTCAATGCTTAAAAAATAAAAAAAAGGTTAAAACCGTAAAGGACAAAATAAAAGTTATTTCTACATAATTATCTACGTCGAATATGGTTTTTCTAAAAAAAATGAAAAATGGTATGAAATGAAAATCAAATTTGTGAATTTTTTGAGGGATTACTGATCCAAAAGTTTTACTTTATATATCATAAATTAAGCGAAATAATTAATTTTCTAATTATTAATATTTGATGCATTTCAAAATTCTGATCATAAATCTTTCGAAATCACGTTTAAAATAAATATTTCGTAATTGGATGCATAACACTTTACGTCATTCTAAACTAAATTCACTGTGAATATGACGTATAAAAAAAAGTATTTTGTTGGATATTTTCAATAAAAAGTATTCTATATATTTTTAAATTGTTCACATGATACCCATTTGTGACAGAGATGCCTTTAGGATGGAACGAAGATAAACGTATCAGAAATTTCGAAAAAAACATGTCAAGTTTTATTTTGCAATATACATTGCATTTTTAGAGAATATTGAATTTTCAATGATCGATGACTCAAAATCTGTTCATTTTAGAAAGTTGTCTTTAAAAGAATCTTTGAAAGAATATAAAATACACTTTAATAAACTGTAAATGTGGACGACGTTTTTTATACGAACCAGAAAAGTCAGTTATTTTTAAACTTTTAGTTCTTTTTCTAGTTTTTTTTTTTTAAATCTCTTGATTTTAAATACATCAATGGTTTTCTTTAATGTTTAAAAAAATAAATGTGTTGAAATTCAACAAAATAATGTTAAAATCGATAATAAAGTAAAACTTTTTGTTCATGCTGTTAGAAATTTTTCAGTAAAAATGGTTAAGTAGTAATTTATTTAACCATATTTATAACTGTTATCTTACGATATTCGAACAAAACAGCAAATAACTATAAAAAGGGTTTTAAAATTGTTGACTGTGAGAAAAATTGTTTATTGATTGCTTTTACTTAATACGGTTTAACAACCTTAATTCTATTCGCGCAAACTAGACCCACCCTATGAAGCCATTTTGTAACGTGCAGTTGGGTACTTAGAGTAGCTGAGAAGACTAATAAGTCAATCTCATTTCCAGTTGAACAATTCAAATCATAGCGTTCATTTGACCCGCGTTAACAGCCCACTTTTTCAATTCATGA